GTGAAAGTGCGAATTAAGATGCAATCGGGATGTAATTGCACGGGGCATTAATTAACGCGGGCAGGCTTGGATAAAAATTCTACCTAAGTTTCACCGCTTTTTTCATTCATCATATTAATCATATTATATTCAAATCCGAGTTATTAAAATTTTGCTACCGAGCATACTTCGTATGTAATAGCGTATCTCGGTTAGAAAGTACTTTCACCATTATGAAATATTATTTTTTTTATAATCACAAAACTTCTTTTCGATTAATTTTTTGATGGATTGAGAATTTATTTATTCTCAGATTTAATGTTATATATATATAAAACATTAAATCATTAAATGATTAAGCCAGTTATATACATATAATTTTATACTTTTTAAGGTTAATGTAAAAAATTACATTATTATTAAAAATTCAAGATAAATTAAATTTAAGAAAAATACAAATATATAAACATATATCATTCTTAAATTTCGGCCAATTTGATTGAAATAAAAAAAATGTTACGCGATTTTATTAGCTTAAGTATGTTATGAAAATATTAAATAAAGAGGATAAAGAAGCTGCGATGTAGGATAAGCTGATATAATTTCGAAAATTCTAAAATAAAAATTGAATACAATTTTCGAGGTTCAAGTTTTGCAATCCTGATCTTATTGTGTGGAGAATACTAAAAGATATCAAACAGAAAAAAACCAAACCAAAACTAAAAGATTGGATTTTATGTCGTTCAAGATCGTATTATCTTGTTTATTAAACATTTATTCTCATAACCATTACTAACAAGGCACTGATAGTGACACTATATTTTCATTAAGCTCTAGAGAACGAAGATTTATTTTTTTTAATCTTACAGCTGTTCCTAAAGATTTGTCATAATTCATTATTTTATTATATTTCTTATCTCAAAATATAGTACTATTTCAATATCACTAGTGGTTTTCTCCCGTCTTGTAAAGATTAATCTCTTTACAAATGTCGTAATAGTCATCCGCACAATCATTACTTTTCACATGGAGAAGAAATTTCCTAACGCTCGCTTCGCAGTGCACATTGAAAAAACGGTGTGTAATTAAATTAATAAAAAGACTATATGGATAACTTTAAATTAAAAAAGAGAAAGAGAGAGAGAGAGAGAGAGCAATATGCGATATAAAATTATTGATTATTTAATCACAACGCGAACATCTTTCGTCTTTTTCAGGTAACAGTGGGACGGAGACACGAGTGTTGAATGTGAACAACGTCACTTTCACATTTCCGCCGTCACCGCTGTTGACCCAAGACGTGTCTCCGGGGATGTTGTGCACCAACAACGATAACAACGAGGATGATCTCAATGAGAGCAACGAGACCATGTCGCGACGCCGATGTCGTCAGGTCGGCGACGTCGGCACGAGTGACATATGCGAGTGCGTACACGTGCGCCACGTGCCTCTTGGAGCAATTGTCGAGATTATTCTCTTGGACCAAGGTAATCAGTCTCATTCGAATGTGATTAAAACGCAAATGCGATTAGCTCACGTATACATTCATCTCGTGTACATTTCTGATTAATTTGAGTTGTCTGCGTTTTTCACTTTCTCCTCCGTTTCCATTCAATCGAAATCTTCATGTTCGTCCAGACTTTATGTGTAGAAAGCCTAAAGAAAGACACAGGCAAAGACAGATTTTTCACACTCACAATTTTATGAGAGGCCTAAAGAGTTTTCTTTAATTTTCTTCCTTTTTTCGGTATATACTTGTCTTCAATGATAAAAATATACCTAGATAACATAAAATATTCTACGAACATCTTTAAAAATACAAATAATCTCGGAATATTTTATATATTTTTAATAAAAAGGACATTTCTAGGAAGTTCTTCAGAATATTCATAAAGTTAATTAATTGCACACTGCACATGTGCAGTTCATTAATTGCTATCAACTAACTGCTTTAAACTGCTACGTACTAAACTTACACAAACAAGATCAAACCCACGTATAAAGAGACGTAGAATATTTTGTAGAAGATTACATAAAATATTCTATAATTTTTCATAGAATATTTACAGTTGTGTCCTTTGAATATATCATCTATATTACGGTATTTTAATATACATCTTTATAACATATAAATATATTTTTAGTATATAATGTATGTATTTCAGAACGTTTTTTAATTTTGCATGCTATTTAGTTACATTAAACTATATATAATTAAATAATATTCTATATTCAACAATATTATATGATTTGGAAAATTTGAAAAGATACAAAAAAAGATCAAAATAATTTAAATACATTTTTAACTCTTAGCATTTTATGATTAGAGATAAGAAAAGAATTCTTACATTATCAAATATTCGTAATATTAAATATAACGTAATATTGAACTTTAGAATCTTTAATCAAGACATGCAAATTAATACGGAATGTGATAAGGTTACTGCAGGAACTCGTTATTACGCTATTCGTTTTGAAGGCGTACGGTCTTCTGTGTAATACAGTGTTGTACAGCGTAACTCATTAGTTTAATTATTACATAGTCCCTCTAAGCACATGCTTGAGGATAATCTTACAAAATGAGTAAAGCAGCACGTGAGAGAACATTAGCAGCATAATAGAATTTACGTTTGACTCCGATATTTTGTATTGGCTGCGAAAGCTAAAGTTATTGATGAAGGCTCTCATCATCATAAATCACTTTTGATGAAGGAGGTATATATTATTCGCTTGAAAAACAATATTTGACGCGTCATCACGATTTCTTTTAAGACAATTGCGACAGCCGAGAGAAGTCCCGCGACTTCCGATAACATCACGTGGAACGATTGGTCTCTTTCATAAAGCTTCGCAATTACACGAAACTAATTTCAGCATCAACTATCGGTTCGCGACATTTCTCGTGAAATTATCTTTATTCACTGTTCAAAGATCATTTTTGCACGATGTTTTTTTTATGGATTTTCTGTTAAACCTGTTCATATTATAAACATGTAATTTTTATATAATTTAGTATTTTTTGTAATTTAGTAATTTTATAATTTATATAAGTCAGTTGTATTTATATACTTATAATATTATACATTCAGTGTGTGTGTGTGTGTGTATCATAATATAGTTTGACATCATAAAATAATTCAATATTATTAAAATAATTTTAACTAAAGTCACGAATAATAATAATAATAATAATAATAATAATTCGGCAATGATCTTTTTGCTACGAGAAATTATATTCAATTATAAAGTTATATTATTGTTATAGGTTAATTTATTATTTTGTTATAGGCGGTTTGGACGATCTAGTTTATCATTTACACGGCTATAGTTTTTACGTGGTGGGCGCCCGACAATTTGGGCGAAGTGTATCACTGCAAGAGCTGAAAAAACTCGATGAAAAAAACCAACTGTTCTCGCGGAATCTTGATTGTGCATTAATCAAGGATACCATCGTCGTACCTAAGTTTGGTGCTGTGGCACTGCGATTTAAAGCCGACAATCCAGGTAAACCGTTTCTTATTAAACTGATACAAATACTTAATGTACAAAATCTCTATTCAAATTCAATTAATTTGATAACTTTAACACATTGAAAATAATTCTACTATTAAAATATACGAAGATATTAGCAATTGATGGGATTATATTAGTGATTAGAAATGAAGAGTTTCTCGTAAACTGAATTTCACTGTATAATAAATAGCAAAACTTTTGACTTTAAGTTCAAAGTTTACCTTAAAACCGTTAATCATTTTATTTTTTTTCTCGTTTATATTAGATTTACAGAACAGAATATTAAAAATATATGTATATAATACAAGTAATTTTATGATACAGTAATAATACTAAAATAACTTTTTACTAATCGAAAAAAAAAGAAAATTATTAAATTGACATCTTTCAGTTTTTAACTGTCATCGGCGATTTTGCTATTAATAGTTAATAGTTAATAATTAAGATATCTATGCCGGTATTTGTAGTCAGATCTTATATTCAAAACCGTCTTAAGTACAGTCTTAAGAAGTCACGAACCAATCAGAGGGTCGTATTAGCATTTTAAGACATTACTTAAGACAGTCTTGAAGAAGGGACTATGAATACCACCCATAATTTTAATTAAAAAACTGACCTAATAAAACTATCAACTTATCAACTTGATAAAACTCTTATCTTTCGCAGGTTATTGGATGTTGCGGGATGAACACGCGACCGATTGGACTCGTGGTTTAGATGTTATCTTGCAAGTTGGAGAACTTAGCGACATGGTGACGCCGCCACAGGACTTTCCAAAATGTGGATCCTTCGTTGGACCTGATTATTTCCTTATATAGACTGCTTAATCGTTAAAAAATGTAATTGTATATAATTGTATATAATAATAGGGCTTTGAATAGAAAAAGTATTTTTATTGTTAAATAAACTTTACGAATTTTTATAAATAAATATTCATGTTCGCTAATCGTTTGGAAATTATCGACCACTATTTTTCTTGAAAATCCGATTATCCGAGAAAATTTTAATTGAATGCCAATTTCTTTACAGCTTCTCCATTTTCAACTTCAAGAAACTTTAACGATATATTGATTTATAATTTAAATTATAATTTAATTATTAATCAACTATTTCAGAGAATGTGCAATTTAACATATAGCGCAACTTCGTATAATTTTCAACTTTTAATAACTGACTTAAATAATAACGTATCATCATGATGAATCATCCCAGAACTGAGCATCATATAACTAGTCGGAATGGATTCCGACTGCATTTATTCCGTTTTTTTACTCCTTAAATTCTTTAGAATAGAATCTCACAGTTAAGAATAAACATTGAGCCATTCTTGGAAAAAAGACTCAATCAATTATCAATTTTTAAGAGTGAGATTTCATTTTTCAGAATTTATTTCTAAAAATTTTAGAGAGTAGAAAATAATAGAAATCTAAAGAATATTGAAAGTACTTCCCATCACTTGTAAAACGCTACGAATTAATTCCAACACCTAATATATATATATGTATAATATGTATAAATCATTCAGGGTACTCCTATCATGGAATAAATCGGAATTTATTCCGACGTATTCCATAGGTACCCACAACACTTCCATAATATGTTGACAAACGGAATTTAGTGCGCAAATCTACATATCTATCGAGAATATCAGTGTTTCCGCCGTTGTCACTCGTTCCTTCCTTGAACAAACGATAGGCGCTACCCGATTTATTTCAGCGCACGTCAGGCGTTTCGATAACTGGATGTAACTATTATAACCGCAATTCGTTTCTTCGCGGTGACAGATAATTCCGAAAGGCCAGGCTGACGCGTAAGCCCTTGTCAGTGATGTCCTGCCTGAGCGCGTTGCACACGCAGATAGGGACCCTGCTCTCCGTGCCCCACGAGATTCTGCTTCTGCGACACAAGGTTTTCCGTGAATATGCGAAAATCGCAGTTGGACCAGACTTTATCCACACGCTGCCATCCTTCCTAATCCTGACGGCCGTGATACTCATCCTCTGGAAGAATCCTCCGTCCTCTACGAGGCTCATGAACATCGTAGGCGCAACATTTATTTATAAAGTATTTCAGGTACAAAAATCATTGCATCTCACGTGTTAATGCTCTTCTGTATACACGTGCATCTTTCAAGGTGTCAGTTAGCTGGCTTACAATTAATGCTCTTTTATGGCTATGGCTGATCCTCCAAAGGATACTCTATTGCAGCGTTTGGCATTATTGGAGTTACGTGAGTGAACTCGTTATTATATTCTTCTCGTAACTAACAAAGAAATTGCTTTCGTAATGCTTGAATTGTCCACTTTTATGTAATAGAAAATAAGGTATGTATGTAGAAAAAAGGGAAATAATTTTCTAAAGCTTTTCCGGAAGAATAAAATATTATAATATTTTCTAGAAATAAATTTTAATCTAAACTAATTATTATAATTAGTATAATTAATTATTATAAGTCTGTATAAACTAATTACTAAGCCTAAAATTAGATAATTACAAGAAGTTAATTACAAAATGTAATTAATAAAATTCATTATATAATATTAGTTTATATAGACTTATAATATAATAATCAGTTGTGCTAATTATAATAATTAATTTAAATCTTCTATGATATACAATATTTAGAAAATTTCTATAATTAATAGGAATCTGAATATCGAGATGTTTCATATCCCTGGTGGCAACATGTCTGGTCTTCATACTATCCTGTACCCATACAGCCACCGGTGATGTCGGCCGGTTTTATTAGTTGGATTATCGCGATGTTGATTGCGGTAACTGCTTTGGGATGTGCAAACTCTACAGATCGCGTGGAAACTTTTGTTAAAGAATCTTTAGTTAAATTCCGGAACGCCTTTGCGATGGTCAAATTACATATGGAATGGTCAGAGGACGGGTATTGCGATTTGTGTTTCAATTATCTTCTTTCGTACATTAGCTTTTGTTGCAGAAAGAAAAATAAAGCGAGAAAAATGTTGTCATAAAAACATATTCTTGTTCTAGAGCGCAAGAGGAGATCCTCGTACCTATTGAAGCAAACGCGATATTGGACGATGGCGAAATCAGTATAGGTTGCGAGGATGGCCGCTCAGAAATGTCGAACGATACGAACAATGCGGCGCGTGGAGATATACATCCGATTTCTTACGGAACAAATTGGATGCCGCAGCCAAATTTCTCCCCGTTTAAGGAAATGCAGCGAAAAATATCGAAGAAATCCTTTCACACAGTGGCAGGCGCCAATGACATTCAGGTAACAATTCATGTGTGTATATTTGTGTGTGTGTGTGTGTGTGAGAGAAAGGGAGAGAAAGAGAGAGAGAGAGAGAGAGAGAGAGAGAGAGAGAGAGAGAGAGATTTACATCTCATTTTATTACTTCTTGTTATCTTTAATTTTTCAATAAAGAATTATATATGTATATAATATATATAAATCTTATATCTCAATAAGATTTTCAATTATTTGTGTTCCAAGAAAATTTATAAAATTTTTATACAAACATTTTATACATAAAATCAAAATTTTATTTTACTACAATTAATATAGATTGTAAACTGAAGTTACCTCTTTAAGATGAAAAATTCTTACTTTTCAAAAATTCCATTTAAACTTTAAAAAAAATTCTAATTGTGTTAAATTGCGATTTGACTGCAACATTCGTTAAAATTCCGAAAGAAATCCTAATATGATTGCAAAACGGGTTTGGCTTTTAGGATCCTGACAAATTCACCAAGCAATTGCGAAACCGACGCGGCTGTCACACCGTGATACCGAGCAATTGCAGCGAGCAATCAAGTGAATGTTGAAGGGACTTGTCAATGTTCATTGAACGATCGTCATCAAAGAGCTCTTCGATTGAGCAATGCTCATGGGAAAACATATCCTCGAATGTGGCGCGTCAATTTCGCAGAGAATATTTAATTTATATAAACTAACGAGTGTCAGCGCGCTGTGACGTTTATATATACTGTGTGATAAGATTTTTTTTAATTATCTAATATTTATGCTTCAAAAAAATTTATAAAATTTTTTACAGAAATATTTTATACGTATAATATATAAAAACAAAACTTTTTTTGACCGATAGTCGAATGATCATTAAAGACGTACAATAGTTACGTAAAAATAATGTGCGTAATGTTACAGATCGCACACATGCTATCAATCATATTAATACAGTATGTGTATGTATATAAAACTTTTTATAAATAAATGTATACATTTTTAACACTTTATTCATAAACTTCTCTAATATTTGTAATATATCTTCTTCTCATATAAACATTACAAATTTATAATAAATTTTATTACAATTTTATAATAAACTGTAATATACATCAATTATTCTAAGCGCTCAATATAATGATAATTTTCATTAATGTGGGATTTAAATTTTTTTATTTTAATAATAACGTTAGGACTTAGAATTAGAGATAATTAATTTTTTAATATTTTATAAATATTTTATAAACAATTTTGAAAATATTAAAATTTTATTTTGTTTCCATCAAATTTATTCATAAGTACAATATTTTATTAATCGTTCCATTAATTTCGTAGAAAATAATAAAAAAATATTGTGAGAAATATCGGAAAAAGAAGAGTTAAGCTGCGTAAAAAATAAGTTAAACGACGATCTCCTTGTTAGTATCTTAAAAAGAGCTTTATGAAGCCCAGTGTATACAGCGAGCCACCCTCCTCGGTCCCTTTGATTATTTATCGAGTAAAACGTCCTGCCGCCTCCGCCAGACCCCAGGACTCCGTCACTTTGCTTCGCCGGTTAGGGGGATGCACAGAAATGCGCATGCGTCCGGAAGGGGTAACATTCCCCATCTTGAACCGGAGCATTATTCTGTAACTGCAACCCTTGTGGGGTAGGTCGCAGATATTCGTGGTCAACACGATATATATCAAGTAAACCTCGTTCATTCCGAAAGTGCGCTTTTCGATACGTCACCCTTGACAAGTGAATACTCGTGAGTCACCGTGGGATCGATTTCCGGTCAGGAAAACCACCTTGGAAAGATTCAGGCGAGAATTTGGTCTTCCGAAGCGGAATCGGGCGTGAACGGTCCTACGCGGCGTAACTAACGTCTGCTTCCTTGTACGATGTGATTATACGCAGTATTGAATTTTGCGACTGTTACCAGATACAAAAAATCGACGGTCACGGCTGCTACATCGGAATTCTGTGAACATTCCTTGGTAAGTCGATCAAGGTTTGGAAAAATCATATTAAATTAGGATTTTTATCAATTTTTAGCAAAAACGCAAACTGAGACATTGAAATATTTGCGTTAGTTTTGTTGTCTAAATGATCTAAATGCCTGCATATCTAGAATTTAGAATAAATAAAATAATATTAGGTGTTGGAATTAATTCGTAGCGTTTTACAAGTGATGGGAAGTACTTTCATTAATGTATTTTTTAATGCTCATGTGAAATAAATAACATTCTTTCATTAAAAACGCTACGAATTAATTCCAACACCTAATATTTAAAAAAAAACGAAAACTATTTTTATCGCGACTGAGACGCGAATTACATCTAACTATATGAGGCAGTAAATAAATAATTATATTCATTAATATTGAAAAGAGATTGCACAAAGTTATCCATTCGGGAATCGATAACGCTGTTAATGCGTTGTAATTAATAATAATAATAATAATAATAATGAACCTAAACAAATCTTAAACAAACCTAATTCAAGTAACCTGATAATCGATAAGTATAATGGATCAGGATTATATTCGTACACGACCTACGCGATTCATTTAACGATTAAGTATTTCCCTCGCGCAGTCAAGCGCATGATGGAGCAGCTGCATCGTCATCCTATGTAAGAACTATTAATTATGGCAAGAATGAACGTATCATAACACTGTATACGTATAATAAATTTATAAATTATAATTTTTTCAAATATTTTAATCATGTCAAACAAGAGAAAATTAATTTATACTATTATTATATTATTTATATTGAACATAATTCTTTTTTGATTAAGCTGTAATTATCTTCTAATGCTCTTTGCAAGCGTATGATAGTTTTTTATTGAAAAAAAAATGTTGCATTATATTAAATTTATTCGTTTATTGATTTATTTTCAAAAATATCAATTAAAATTGGCTTAAATGTAAAAAAATAATTAAATAATGTGGTCTTTGTTAAACGATGCTAAATATAACTTCGTTAGCATGTATTATAAAAAAAAGTATTAGATGGGAAAAAAATCAATTATTTTAACATTCCTTTCAGCAAAGAATTATAAGAATATGTAAAAAATTTAATATCTCTTTTAATGAAACAATGTTTTTAATAATATATATTAATGAAACAATGTTTTGCATATACTTTTTGCTTATTGTATTATCAATTACGTAACAGAATACTTGTGTCGCTTCGAAATTTATCTTTCGCTTCGTTATTAAATTTTCTATGGATTTTTATTTTTCAGAATACGCGTTTCATTTTTTACATGACTCCCTTTCCACCCCTTAATTCAAAATACTTCCGATTGATTCTCCAGTACTAGTACGATCACGTTCTGACGCAATTGCAATCCAATTGAGTATCAGCGACCTCGGCGTTGCGTCGGGTCCGAATTTTACGACAAGATTCACGGTCCACGTGTGTACATAGACGCGATGTAAACTTGATATTGATTTTGTGTCCAGCATCCATGAGCGTGGAGCGCGCGCACAGCCAACGGCGCGCTCGCGTACATAAACTCAAACATACTCACGTTACATACACACACGTACGTAGACACGTGTATACATTACTTGGCACGTGCACCCTCTTCATTGCCGATCCTGAATCGGCCGGGTTACAATGGTAAAAGAAACAGGGAGAGAATTCCTGGAGGAGGGAGATGAATGTGAATGAGTGAACACACGCGATATAACTGCAAACACGCGTGTAGCTACGACAATACGCACGAATGGCTGCGGTACGTTGAACAGCAAACCGGTTGTACTAGGTTCCGCACTGGTCACCGAAATTCAAAGCGAGGTTTTGTGAAAAATATAAAGCTGTCGAGAATACCAAAACACCGCAGTTCGGAATAAATAAATCTGAATAAATAATTATCTCTATTATCCTTTCAGATTAATCTTATCGATAGCAGAGGAAAAAATTTAATTACGTAGTTGAATTCGGTTAATATGATGTTGACTTTAAAACAAATGATTCTAAAAGATATGCAGCGTTGTACAAATTTATCTTTCGATTAATTCAATGTAAATTTGTTTAAAAAATTTAATTGCGATATCAAACACAAATGTATTGAATATTAAAAGCTAGTAAAGTGAAGATAATTCTCTCTCCGAAGAAAAATGTGATTTTAAATTGTTCGAAGAAAATATAACAAAAATGGCAAGTAACAAAATATAAATATAAAAAAATATTATGAGAGGATCAATTTTTAATTATTTTTTGTGTTTTTCCATAAACTTAAAATTCGTTTTTTTTTTAAATTGTTTTACGTATATCAAAATTGGACACAATAATTAGAAAAAATGCTCAGATTGCACTAGAATTTCAAAGTTGAAAAAATTAATAAAATATAGATGCAAGAGATATTTGTTATTCCTGACAAATTTTATGAGATATTTTCTTATAAATTTAGAAATTGTTCTAATTTGATACACTGCAGCTTTAATTATTTTTATCATTTCTTATGAAATTCAAAGTCGTTTCTTTTTTTAAAAAAAAATTGTTTTGTATAAAAATATGCACAACAATCGGCAAAATATCTAATTATATGTCCGAATTAAAAAAATTAAATAAAAGATAAATGCAAGAGATATCTGTTATTCTCAAAAAATTGAATGAGGAATATTCTCTTGTATATTAAAAAATTGTTTTGAATAGTTTGAAAGCAGTTATAATATACAATGCTCAATATATTAACAAATTTGCTTTGTTAGTTTAACATCTGTGATGTTACTAGCAATTCATTTTCAATATAACCGTGCCATTTAACATGATATTATTCAAAGGTCAACGAGATTATATATCTATACATATACACATGTTCTCTGCAAACATATCTATTGGAAAATCGGTGAGATAAATGAAAATGAGTAGAGTTTCATCGGAAATACAACACCGAGCGACATTCGTAATTGCATACTATGCAATTGCGTGCTGGGCTTTATCAGAACGTGGGCGGAGAAATTTACAGTTGTAGGTGCATCGCTTTTTTCCTCCGAATGTAATAGAGGTCATGGCGAAATGTCGATGTTCGAGAAAACATATATTTGTATCACTGCTCACTCGGAAATATAATCGCCACTATTATCAGATTAATTCGCATTGATAAAATCTGCATAATTGGTTAGATCAAAGAGGCATTAATAGTTTGCAGGATTCCTATTCTTGAAAAGTATTGCATTCGTAAAAGCAGAGAAATATAAGTAGCATAAAAAGTAGTATAACGTATACTATAGTTTTTCATATACGTTTTTTTTTTCAAGAACAGGGGCTCAGAGTTTTATAAATTAATAGTAATAGAAAAAGTTAAAAACTCTTGTATCTTTTTTTCCGAAAGAAGCTTAAAGAAATAGAAGGAAATCCAAATGTTTCGAAACTTAACTTTGAAAAAAAAGGAACAAAAAGTTCAAATATTTTTAAATTAACTATTTAATTTTGAAGATTAAATTCTACTTTCACAGAATAAATGTTCATAATGTTTTATCAATCTATTTTTCAAAAAATGTTAAAAAAATGAATATAAAGTTTTTTATCATATATTCTATGAAATTATAGTAAGACATCGCGTGTTCTTTCTAGGGGAATTATTACTTAACTGTATTATAAAACAGAACAAAATCATGATAATCGATCACATGAAGGCCGCAAGAATTTGCGTTTCATCCCTCCAATTACGTTCAAGGATTGCCTTAGTGCTTCCTTTTAGATATTCAGTGTCAATTTTCGGTGTATTT